AAACGTGTAGAGATATATGTATATGTATATATATATAAAGATATAGACATAGACATGTACTTAGCTAGTTCTGTATGTTTTCTAACCGAATCTCGGGCCATGAGCATTTTAGCCGTGCAAAGTTCGAGCCGGGAGTCCCCCGGAAGACCGTCGAAGTTAACAAGAAGGGTTTCGGGTTTAGGGTTTCGGGTTTAGGGTTTCGGGTTTAGGGTTCAGCCAGGAATTTCCCGGAGATTCCTTGATGCAGGATGATGACGAGAGTTGCAGGTGTCTCAACCCTCAAACCCTAAACCCTAAACCCTAAACCCCACACAAAAAAAAAAAAAAAACATAACATTAGGAGAGGCTCGGGCTCAAGCTGGGTATGTCGAAGTCGGTGTGGGCTTGCGGCCACCCAGGTGTGGGGGGGCGTGGCAGCTCTCGGGTGGGTTTCGTTTTTTTTGATTTGGACTTCTAGGGTCCCCCTTGGGAAGGATGTTTGTGTTTATATAAAACCCCAGAGATATTAAAAGTATTATTTTAATTAAGGCTCTAAGGGGAGTATACTTACAGGTTTTTTTGTGCTTTATAGGGCTTGTAGGGTTTAGGGCTGTATGTGTGTTTCGGAGTGGCAGGGGGCTTGGCAGACGTGATTCTTTGGCATGCATCTCTTCCCGAAATCAGCTCAAGCCTGTGCTCCCCTAGGAATTGTCATGCCAAGCCCGTAAGCGCTAAGTCGACTCAGGCTCGAATGCCTTTAACCCTGAACCCTGAGGGATCAGAGAGCTTCCCTTCGTCCTTTCCCCGCAGAAATTAACACACCACAGCACCACGCCCCCTCCCCCCCCTCCTCCCGCGCTCAGAAGCCATCGAATGTTATACGTATGGGCAACACGGAAGCAGCCCAAAGGAGACCTGAACCGGGTTGCGGGTTTAGGGTTGAGGATGTGGAACCCATACCCCTGAAGTAAGAAATTTTAACTTAGGGTTTGGGGGGTTGAAGATTTAGGGGATGGGATGTTCCCCCTTATACCAACAGTCCTTAATAGGGACTATACTCCCTACTAAGGTTTCCCTTAACCGGTATAACCCTAAACCCTAAACCCTAAACCCTAAACCCTAAACCCTAAACCCTAAGGGGTCCGTGGTGTGAATTCAGTATGCCCCATGAAAGTTCGGGGTCCTGGAAGCCTGGCCTGCTTTGGGGTTTAGGGTTTAGGGTTTAGGGTTTAGGGTTTAGGGTTTAGGGTTTAGGGTTTCGGGTTTAGGGTTTAGGGTTTAGGGTTTAGGGTTTAGGGTTTAGGGCAAAAAAGGGGCCTCAGACTCATCCGCTACACTCGCAGGTCGATGGCTATGGCCACAAGGAATGGAGGCCACCTCCCTGTCGTTTTGCTATGGTTTAGGGTTTAGGGTTTAGGGTTTGGGGTTTAGGGTTTAGGGCTTAGGGCTTAGGGCTTAGGGTGTAGGGTTAGGGTTTAGGTTTACGGTTCAGGGTTTAGGGTTAGGGTTTCGGGTTTCGGGTCTAGGGTCGGAATAATTGCTAATCGTGCTCCCTCATGATCCCTTCGTAGTTTTACTCTAATAACCCCCAAAACCCTGTTCTAATTATTCAGGCCCCTATATTACTGACTCCAGAACTCCCTGTCGTTTTGCTATGGTCTGTTCTGGTATATTTGCATATTCTTGTACATTAAGGCATATTCTATGGTATTCTGAGTATAGCGTGGTATGTTCTGCTATATTATTGTATGCTCTTGTACACTTGAGGTGTAGTACGGTAACATCTTCTGGGGAGAAGGGGGGGGGGGGATGCCCCGAGTCATGTGTATTCCAAGGGGAATTCTCATCATCGGATGCCCAGCGGTGCCCTTCTTCCATGTTTAGGGTTTAGGGTTTAGGGTTTAGGGTTTAGGGTTTAGGAAAATGGCTACGGCTCAAGTCAAATGAGTACCCCAATTCGGATCTTTCGCACGCCCTTGCTGCCATGATTCCAGACACGGGACGCAAACTGTCTTCATGCATTGCTTACGCGGGCAGACTTTCCAAGCGTGAGGGATATGAGTGCGTGTCCGGCTATCTTCGGCAAGCTCTGTTTGCACTGGTTGCTGACATCAAGGCGAGGCCTGGGCCAGGTGAAGTCAGTGAAGATGGGAACATGAGATGTAAAATACGCTTGGTTCAAGAACTTGGCCTTGAACTGGAGTCTGTTGACCAGGCTGCAGGTGACTCCTTCTCTACCCGACTTGGCGCGGTGTCTACGCAAGATGGCATCTCTCAGACGGATGTTGACATTATTACCAGGCCTGTGCGCGAGCGCTTGATGGAGGAGATGGCGCGAAGCTGTGAAGCCAAGCTGCTGCACATGGCACAGCTACTGCAGACTGAGAAGGCCCTTGTTCTGGAGCTTCGTGAACGCGTCCTTACCTTGACTGCTTCTGACAAGACTCCTATGGATGATGCAGTTCCTCTGCTCCCTTGCAAGCCACATGCTTCTTCGTGTTCGGGTCTTGCGGATGCTGCTGTTTCTGCAGCTCAGTTCGGGGATGATATGCACGAGCCACTGCAGGATGTTCTATCCCTGTCGGAGATCAAACAGGAGCACGCGCGGAAAAGGAGGGAGGCCAAGGCAAAAAAGAAGACAGGAACGTCATGAGCGCTTGGTGCAAAATTCGAGCGAGTAGCATGGACAGCTTGCTTCCACGCCTCAGAGCATGTTTTTGCTGTACTGCTGTCAGTTGTGGCAGTCATGACGACAGTGTGTGATAGTGTGTGTGTGTGTCCTCGGCTGAAGAACAGCGGAGGAGGCAGTCCCAGCAAGCTTGTCCGAGCCTGGGTTCAAAAAGGGTTTAGGGTTTAGTTAGGGGGATTTGGTCCCTTTTGTGTTGCCGGAGAGTCTCGCTTGTGTATATTCGGATTGCATATTGGAAATTTCAGCAAGCAAATCATATGTATGGGTCGCAACACATCCGTCTGGATAAGATTCTAGTAGGTTGCGTAGGAAGCGAAGTGGTCGCTTTGTTTGTTTTGTTCGTGATTGCCTGGCACTTTGCTTCTCTCATTGCCCTCGAGGCCTTTGTCTTGCTCCGAAACCCCGTTGTCCTACAGTTCCCCCTATAGGGTACCCATTCAAGGATCCTTCAAGAAGGACTATACTATACTCAACCCTAAACCCTAAACCCTAAACCCTAAACCCTAAACCCTTTTTTCTTTGAAGTGTTGGGAAGCATGGGGTCTGAGAGCAAAGCCGACTTGAGCTGAGGTGGGCCCGGTGATCTAGTTCGCCCACTCCCCCGGGAGAGGCTCGTGAAACCTCAGGTTTAGGGTTTAGGGTTTAGGGTTTAGGGTTTGGGGTTTGGGGTTTGGGGTTTGGGGCTTGGGGCTTGGGGTTTGGGGTTTGGGGTTTAGGGTCATAAAGGGTCATAAGCCCTAAACCCCAAACCCTCCACCGCCTTAAGCCCTAATGTGAGGTCGATCTTGAGGCTTTGGGCGTTTGCCTTCTTAAGGTGGGTCAGGAACAGCACGTGCTTGCTCAAAATTCTGAGCACATTTTTGGGCTACCCTAAAGAGAAGGCTCCCTGTTTCAACATCAGCCTTCAAAGGGTGCCCTAGTAGTCAAGCAAACTTCCGAATATGATGATAATGCGCAGAGCAGGCAGTAGGGTACTGCAGCAAGACGCAGGGCAGTACTGCAAACACCGCAAAAGGCCGCACAGCGTAATTGCGAAGTGGCATAGTGCACTCACCGACGCCATATATGTATCGGCCCGACTCAAATCACCTTCGCTATTGCCATTGAAATTGACATTACAACTTCCAGCAAGGTATGCAAAAGCCGGCTCAAGGATTGACTGGGGCGTGTTGGGAGTCCTTTGGGAGCATGTCAAGGTGTTCTCGTACACAAACTCACGTAGCTACGACGTTTTCCAAAAACCCTGAACCCTAAACCCCAAACCCAAAACCCCAAACCATGGAGCCAATGACTGTACCTTGGCAGGATCTTCAGTTGGGCTGCAGCCCCAGTCTATGTGCAGGCTGGAGGGAGGGGGCGAGGGGGTACTTGGAGGTAACCCAAATATATCTGGACTGATAACCCCATTAAACCCTATTAGGGTTCTTAAGGGGCTTGGAGGTAACTACACTTATCATGGATTACTAAGTACCCTGAACCTCCAAGTAGCCCTGTACCGATGGCCCTGAGTCATTTCCTTTATTGGGGTCCTTGTGAGAAGGGAATCCTACTACTTGGGGGCCTATTTTAGGGTCCGCCCTGACAGCCTAAGCCCTGAACTAAACCCTAAGCCCTGAACCCCATGACCTTCAAGTAACAGGCTCTCTCAGATACAGAAGAAGCACGACACACCAAACCCGCCCCCCCACCGCCCACAAGTCCCTCAATTAAGGGGGCTCTCAGGGTTGAATCTGGGTTTAGGGTTTAGGGTTTAGGGTTTAGGGTTTAGGGTTTAGGGTTTAGGGTTTAGGGTTTAGGGTTTAGGGTTTAGGGTTTAGGGTTTAGGGTTTAGGGTTTAGGGTTTAGGGAGGTTCCCTTAAAAAAAGCGCCGAAGATGGCCCTTAGATTCCCTTCTAAGGATCTTGAAACAGGGTCCCCAAAAGCCTAAACCCCAAACCCCCAAACCCCTAAACCCTAAACCCAAGGGTGCAACCTTAGGGGCGTGGAGGACATTCAGGATTCAGGATCCTCGGGTGTCGAGGATTGTGGGGGGGGGGGGGGGTGGTATGTTTAGAGTCCACAGTTGGGGCCTCCCCTGCAGTCCGCTCCCTCGCGTGAAGTCAACCCCATAAACCCTAAACCCTAAATCCTAAGCCCTAAACCCTAAGCCCTAAACCCTAAACCCTAAACCCTAAACCCTAAACCCTAAACCCCAAACCCTAAACCCTAAACCCTAAACCCCAAACCCTAAACCCTAAACCCTAAACCCTAAACCCTAAACCCTAAACCCCAAACCCTTTTGGCTCCCAGCCGCCCCGGTCCCTTCACCCCGGAGCTCTAAGCAGCCAACGCCATGGCGCGCAGTGGAGCGGGAGCCCCAAAGCCTCTCATTTAGGGTTTAGGGTTTAGGGTTTAGGGTTTAGGGTTTGGGGTTTGGGGTTTGGGGTTTGGGGTTTGGGGTTTAGGGTTTGGGGTTTGGGGTTTGGGGTTTGGGGTTTGGGGTTTAGGGCTAGCGTTTAGGATGATTGACGTGGGTCTTGAGCTCGCGGGGGGGTGGGTGGGGGGGGGGGGGGGGGGGGCAAATGACGCTTTCGGCTGGTGAGTGTTTAGCTCGAAAGGAGGTGTTTTTTGGCTGTTGAGGGTTTCGGGTTTGGGGTTTAGGGTTGAGGGTTTGGGGTTTGGGGTTTGGGGCCGGAGCCTCAACAATTACCATGATCTCCTTGCACCTACAGAAGTACAGTATTATAGATTCCCAATCATACGCACTCTTTCGTTAATGTGACATATATGTATGTGTATATATATATATATAATGCACTTATAAAAGTGTATAGTCGAATAGAAAGAATAGAAATGAACCTGGAGAAGCCTGTCTGGCAGGTCAAGGCATGCTTGATATCTTTCGCCGCGGCCTTCGCCGGCGGATATGTCGCAGCTCTCCTGAAGAGAGATTGCAATGGCTGGCCCTTGGGCCCTTAGTATAGGGTTTAGGGTTTAGGGCTTAGGGCTTAGGGTTTAGGGCTTAGGGTTTAGGGTTTAGGGTTTCGGGGATTTCCAATAAAGAATCTTTAATGGGTTGTATAGGCCGGGATACTTTCTATAGGTTTAGTGTTTTACATTTTTCTGCTTGTCGGATTAAGAGGATTCTTTTTCGGAATATTTTCATAGGGCTGAAAGGGCCAAAGCTAGATGGTTTGGGGTTTTTGAGCCCTTCCCTGCACCATTTGGTGCAGCGCTTTGCCTCGTTTTGGTGAAAGAGGTGGGGGGGGTTCGTGGTTGGGCTTGTTGGGCGTAAAGTGTTGAGTTCAAGGGCGTCTTCAGCGCATCTGATGACAAGAGCCCCCGTCACAGAAGGGCTGCGAAAAGCTTACCCTAAGCTTCTTGCAGGACTTTGAGAAGCACCGGCCAAAACTGGCCAACATTCCGCAAACTGCGACTCACAACTACGGCTTGCGGGCGCGGGCCCCTGTAGCCCCGATGGCAACAGCCCTGTGTCCCACCACAGAGATCCACCTGGCGATTTCAGTATCTACACCAGACTTTCCGACTCTAAACCCTAAACCCTAAACCCTAAACCCTAAACCCTAAACCCTAAACCCTAAGCCCTAAGCCCTAAACCCTAAACCCTAAACCCTAAACCCTAAACCCTAGAGCTCAGATCGTCTGGCAGATCACAGAGCCTCGTGCATGCCTATCGGCCAGGAGCCAGGAAGGCTCTCACCTTCCGCGTCGTTTCGGAAGAACACTAGAGTGGCGTGGGTGTTCCCTATACCTGTGACTCAAGCACTTCATTATGGCGCATAACCCCCCCAAAACAGTAAGTAATTACAACCCCAAATAATCTATATACCCTCAAAGCGGGAGACAACTCAGTTGCTTGAGGGGATACAAAGTCGTCAGGCTCTTGGGATGTTCTGGCTTTAAGAGGACCTAAATTTGCTAACTATTTGAATAAAATGAACCATATTCGTCATTGTAAGGGCAATATGAGGATCATTATCCTTAGCCGTTTGGGGGTTCTTCATTGTGGGAATGCGTTTTGGGTTTCGCTTCAGGTCTTATAGCAATGGTTCCTCGACGTGCGGAGTTAGAGAAATCAAGGTGGCCCTGAGCTACTCCAACGCCTTCACCGCGGGCTTCGCCCCAGCCGCAACGGCGACGAAGGCACGAAACTCTGCGCTTTTTCGGGGGGACAGGGGGGCGGGGATGGGCTGAGTCTGAAATGAAAGCGTTACGGCCGGCCCTTGCATAGGCTTTAGGATCCATGCGCCAGGTTATTACCCTAAACCGAACCTTTAAACCTTGGGCAGGAAACCCTAAACCCTAAACCACCCTAAACCTTAAACCGTAAACAGCACGGCCCTGCTGCAAAGTGGGTCATCAGCGCAACCTTGACAGGCCCGCCTCGCTGCCGCCGACGAGCGCGCGCTTAGGGGAGCACTTGCAACAAATGCCGCCTGGCCAGCGTTAATATAGGGGTCGGAGTAATTACTACTCATATTCCCTTATGGTCCAATTGCAATTATACGATAATGACCCCCCAAAACCTGTTCTAATTCAGGCCCCTATAGTAGGGAACGTTTTATGTCGCCCTGGTGCTAGTGCTGGTGCTGGTCGTGCTGGTCGTGCTGGCTGCAGCAGCAGCAGCCGTACTAGTAGTCGTTTGGGAAGTTCCTCCCTCAGACTAACAGTCCTGAAAACAGGCATTAAATAATAATAAAAAACTATAATCCCTATTAAGGACGGTTATCATTATCAGGGCCTTAGTAACTAGAATGGGGATTTGGCGGGGATTTTTGTATACTGACAAAGGGACCCTAGTAGTAACGTAGTTCATCCAGGCCGAGATCATGCACACACACACACACACACTCAAAGCTTGCTCGGTGGCTAGTGTTTGTCCGAGCTTTTGGGGGAAGGCTTGGGTTTCTGCACTAACCCTCAACCCTAAACTCCAGGAAACTTGGAAACTTCGGGGCTTTATGACAAACTCTGCCATGAGTCTCTGCGCAAGCAAGAGAGGTCTGGGACTGCCAGGGATGGATTCCCCACGAACGGGAATGGAGGTTCATGGGTACTTGGAGGTTCATGGTACTTGTTAACCAATTATAACTGTACTTATAACTGTACTTATAACCATATTGGAGCACTTAAGGGGCTTATAAGTGGGTAATAAGTGCAGTTATAGCTGGTTCATAAGTGCCATGAACCTCCAAGTACTTGGAAGTGTTATAGGATGTTTAGTAGTACCCTTATTCCCGTTTTGAGGGGTTTAGGTTCCCTTATAAACCCCTTCAAACAAAAAGGGCACCCTTTTCCATCCTAGGTTACTGGGCAACCTAGCCCCAATGGTAAATCTGCCTACATATTTAGAGGACTCAGAAGTACAATGACAATCGGGGTTATGAGTACAGCGCCCTGAACCTCGAAGTAGGCGGGTGGCCCAACGAAAGTCCGGGGGAGGGGACGTTCTGCCAATCCCGGGTTCGCATGACAACCCGGGACCTGCAAAAGGCCAGAAGGCTTCACTCCTACTAAGTTACTAAACCCGAAACCCGACACCCTAAATCCCCCAGCTCACCAAAAGAAGTATGCCACCCTAAACCCTAAACCCTCAACCCTAAACCCTGAACCCTGAACCCTAAACTACGCAGCTCAAACCCGCAACTGACCAAAAGGTTGAAGCCAAGACAGACAGAACCGAAACCCTAAAACTATGCAATAAGCAATACATTACGCAACTGCCCTGAACCCTGAACCCTGAACCCTGAACCCTAAACTACGCAGCTCAAACCCGCAACTGACCAAAAGGTTGAAGCCAAGACAGACAGAACCGAAACCCTAAAACTATGCAATAAGCAATACATTACGCAACTGCAACTGACCAAAAGGTTGAAGTCAAGACAGACTACACGGCGCTGGCTGTTGGTGGGGCCCTCGGCTTCCCGGAACGCACATGGGACTTTTTTTCTTCTTCTTTCATCTTCAGGGTTCAGGGTTTAGGGTTTAGGGGTTTAGGGTTTAGGGTTTAGGGTTTAGGGTTCAGGGTTTAGGGTTTAGGGTTTAGGGTTTAGGGCTATGAGTCTACCCTAAACCCCCTAAACCACGTAGACCTCAAGATCTAAAACCCCAAGTCTCCCCCAACAGGCCTGGCCACGGCCGCGTCGCTTATTCGCAGCCGCAACGCAGCCCGCCGTGCAGCCAAGGCTCCTCTCATGACAGGGGTCCAGGGTTTAGGGTTTAGGGTTCAGGGGTTCAGGGGTTCAGGGGTTCAGGGGTTCAGGGGTTCAGGGTTCAGGGTTTAGTTTCCCCAGCATTTATCATCATTCATAAGAATTAGCAAGCAGCACACGCACACGCAAACAAATGAAGTGGAGCGGAGTGGAATGGAACTGAGTGGAATGGAATGAATGGAGTGCAGGTGTGTGGGTCCCCCCCCCCCCCCCCCCCCCCCCCCCCCCCACCCCCCAGACCCAAAGCCCCCAAACCTTAAACCCTATGGAGGCGCCAACCAGGAGGCAGGCGACTATCACGGCCACCCGGATGCATCACTGCTGAGAGGTTTTGGGGTTTAGGGTTCAGGGTTTATATAGGGTTTAGTGTTTAGGGTTTAGGCTTTAGGCTTTGGGCTTTAGGCTTAAGGCTTTAGGGTTTAGGCTTTAGGGTTGGGGTGTTTCATGTGAGCCTGCGTCTGGCACAGAGGTCGTGGACCCTTGGCCTGGCTCTGGGGTTTGGAGTGCGTGGATGTGAGCTGAAGGCTTTTGCCCCCTAACCCTGGTTTAGCGTTTCGGGTTTAGGGTTTAGGGTTCAGGGTCAGGGTTCAGGGTACCCACGGGAGTCCGGATGCAAAAAGGGTTCAGGGTTCAGGGTTCAGGGTTCAGGGTTCCCACAACATTCGCTTCAAGGTCTCTGTTTTGTTTAATTCAGTCCACGCCTAGAGTCGCCCGCATGTCATAGATAAAGGGGCAGGCATCAAATTGCACGTTGCCCTCCAAATGTTTTGAGTACAGCACAAGCATATGTGCACATTTGTACATATATACATATATATATATATATGTATATATACATATATATGTATATACATATATGTATATATGTATATATATATGTATATATATATGTATGTCTGTATGCAGGTATGTCTCTGCGCATGCATCCATCTCTCCAACAAACAGTTCAAGGTATATAGTATATGTATATATGTATATGTGGACACCCTAAACCCTAAACCCTAACCCTAAACCTAAACCCTAAACCCTAAACCGTTTATATGTCTGTATGTAGGTTACGCTAGGTGGTGAGAAGTTGTGTAAGGCCACGATGGAGACCGAGCCGGCCGTGGATGACGAGGCAGCGAATCCATTTGCCGAAAGGGTTTCGGGCTTTAGGGTTTAGGGTTTAGGGTTTCAGGTGAGCCCGGAGTCAAAAAGGTTTTAGGGTTCAGGGATAAAAATGAAGTCTGAATTACGAAACCCCCCAAGCAAACCCGCCAGCCCCTACCAGGAGAACGTCCCCGTCAAGAAGACGTCCGTGCTCGTTATGGGCGCCACAGGAACGATTGGCCGACAGGTCGTTCGCCTCCCGGCTAAGGTCTGACTGGTGTGCTTGGAGTTTCATGGGTACTTGTAATTAACTCCAACGTAACTGCAACTCATAAGCCTTAAGTCTTAGAAGCAGTCGTTTCACTGGGATTATACCCATGAACCGCCATGTGGACAGGACTGAAGTGGTTGTGATGACAGGTCGCATTGCTTATCATGCAGGGAAAGGGCAGAGTACTTAACGCGTGCATGAATGCTTCAGCAAGTGCGTCGCAGCGTCAGTTTTATCCTGATTTATTATACTACTATAGATACACAGACAATATATGTGTGTGTATATATATATATACATATATGAATACACAGAGAATATTATGTTATTGTGTTATTCTGTTAGTAAGTTATTATGTTGTTCTGTTATTGCCCCGGCCCAAGGACAGCTGCTGAACGCGGGCTACTCCGTTCGATGCGCCCATTGGCCTGCAAAACGGCGCAGTCGATTAGGCAGAGTCTCCTTGAGGTCTGGATCGTTGTATGGGGGCTTACAAAGGGGACACCTAAATCCCAAAGAGCAGGATTCCCTTACAGTAAGGACCCCGATAAGAAACCCTAATTTCGGAAACCGCCATATTGTATTATCAGATCATGATAAGACGATGCTAGGATATTCCTATATGCAAGTATTTCTATAAAATATTCTATCACATGACATTATATTGCAGCCTCGCATTATGAATAGGCTTAGCAAAAGATAGGCTCCAGCTACTGCTGGGCCTTTTCAAAGTGTATTGTGGGTTCAGAGTTAAGGTTTGCAGCAACAAGTGCCGAGGTGTTGCGAAACCGTGCCGATCGGCAGTTCTCCTTCTTGGTTGCGCCTTGGCAGAAAGCTAAGCATCAGAGTTTTCGTGGGCCCTAAACCCTAAACCCCAAACCCTAAACCCGAAATACCCTAAACCCCAAACCCTAAACCCTGAACCCTGAACACTAAACACTAAACCCCTAAACCCCGTCAAAGAAGCCCGAAGGGAGCCCATCGGTGCCAGTGCTCTCAATATGTTGGGGGCCCTTTGGGATGTTTTCATCTCTTCCCTTATTGGGTTTAAGAGGGTCCTATGCAGGGTTTGGGGCTTAGGGTTTAGGGTTAGCGCTTAGAGTTTAGGGCTTAAGAGGCTCTTGTTAGGGTGTAGGGCTAGGGTTTGGGGTTTTGTTTAAGAGGATCCTATGTAGGGTTCATCTCTTCCCTTGTCGGCTTCGTAGCCCAGTGCTACCCTTTTACCCTTCTTGTGGTTCTGGGAACCCTTATAGGTAACCAACCAAAAAAAGGTTGCCCTTATTACAATACGGTTAGTGGGCTACTAAGTCGGGTTCAAGAGGATCCTGTGTAGGGTTTGGGGCTAAGGGTTTAGGGCTTCGGGTTTTAGAGGATCTTAGGGTTTAGGGTTAGGGTTTAGGGTTTGTGTAAGAGGATCCTATGTAGGGTTTGGGGCTTAAAGGTTTAGGGTTTAGGGTTGAGCATCCTGTTTGGAAAACATCTTGCAGCGGATCCAAAGGCCCAACCTAGCTTTGTCTCCACACGGCGCACAAGCAGTGGCATACACAACAAACCAGATGCAACTGTACCTTCGCGTTTAGGGTTTAGGGTTTAGGGTTGCCTGTTTTCAGAGCCGAGAAGCACCAGATTGCACTGTTCAAGCGGGGAGTGAGGGAATGAGGCACCTTGTATCCCCGTATATATATATATATATACACATATATACATAGCTATATATATATATATATATATATATATATATATATATATATAGCTATATATATATATATACACCCTTTGAAGGGTTCTATAGGACACCTCATTCCCGCCATTCCCTACTAAGAACCAGTAAGTTGACGTAGAAGAGCCTCCCGACCCTAAAGTGTTCAGGGTTTCGGGGCTAGGGTGTGCACCTACAAGCATCTTTCATGTACATGCAACAACCTAAACCCGAAACCCTAAACCCTGAATTTTGCCAGGACTGGGGCGCCACCGTCGTTGAAGGCCCCGAGTCTCGCGCCATAGTCCTTCGAGCGTGAAGGGCTTCCGGGTTTGCTGCACCCTAAGCCCGAGGTGGCAAAGCAAAACCCTAAACCCTAAACCCTAAACATATAAGCCCTAAACTGTAAAGGCCCAAAACCCTAAAAGGCCTGGAAGGTTGGGCTTAAGTCCTCGGAGACCTGCCTACCGACTACCTGCCAGGACGCTCAGTGTTACCCTTTTGTCCCTTTTCTATGTGCGTTAGATGTCCACACACCCAGAAATTAGACGAGAAGAACAGGTACCAAGCGAGCAGGTTCAATGCTTCTTCCGAATCCTATAAGGCCCCCAACCACAGGTTTCTGGGGCGGGCAGCCGAATTGTGGGGCTTCCCCCCCCCCGCCCGCAACCAACAAAGACAGCCGGAGCTTCCGAAAGGGTGGGGCACCTTCAGTCGAAACCTTGGTTAAGCTTGGTAGCCCAGTGATACCCTTGACCCTTTTTTTGGTTCTGGGTTCCCTTAGAAAGGGGTTGGGGAACTGTTAGGGTTCAAGCGTTGAGGGTTCACGGTGCCAAGGTTCAAGGGTTAGCGTTTACAGGGGTTTCTAGAATTCATAGGGTTTATGGGGTTTCTGGGGTCTAATGGGTGTTTATAAGGTTGTTTATCGTGTGCATAGGGTTTAAAGGGTTGTTGGGTTTTTTTTGGGGGGGTGGGGGGGAGGGGGGGGGGTTTATGTCCTGGGCTTAAATTCCCGCAACCCTAAACCCTAAACCCTAAACCCCTAAACCCCTAAACCCCTAAACCCCAAGTGCAGGTGAGCTCCTCCGCGCAGAGAGCTTGCCAAGTCGCCTGTCATCCCCAAGTCGGTGGAAGCTCATTTTAGGGTTCTAGGGATTTAGGGTTTAGGGTTTAGGGTTTAGGGTTTAGGGTTTGAGGGTTTAGGGTTTAGGGTTTAGGGTTTAGGGTTTCAGGGGTTTAGGGTTTCAGGGTTTTAGGGTTTTTGGGTTTCAGGGGTTAGGGTTTCGGGTCAGCTGCAGATGTGGTCCCACAGCACATGTTGGGGCTTCGAGCTCAGCATGGAGACGCGAAGGCAGAATTTCAGGCCCCGAAACCCCAAACCTGAGACCCTAACCCCTAAACCCCAGACCCAAAAACCCTAAGCCCGAAAATCTCAAGGCAGTGTTGAGGGTGCAGGGTGCAGGGTTTAGGGTTTAGGGTTTAGGGTTTAGGGTGTGTCAGGGGAGGGCGCGCGCTCGGGTGTGAAACACCCCGGGCCGCGCGCTCGCGTTGCCCGTCAACCCACCCCGGCCACCCAAACTATACTCTATTAGGGTTTAGGGTTTATGGAATTTACTTTCTTGTGCTTTGATGCTTGCTTTGATGTTTTTAAAGTTGCGCTGTTAGGGTTTAACCCCAGCGGGTAGCCTCGGCCCTTTTCGGGCCTTCGGCGTGTCAGGGCCCGTAGAGGCCCTTATTTATTTGAAGGTCAGGGAAACCCTTTGTGTCTGCTCCTGGATTCCCCTTCTTTAAGGGCCTCAATTAAGCATCGATTTCACTACCAAAAAAACGCATTTTTCATTGCGGGTACGGGCATCTGGGGTCCCCCTTCTTTTAGGGGGCCGTTTTGAAGCCTTTTGAAGCATTTTGGTGGCTCTTGGGGTCTCTCGGGGCCTTGTTCGGACCTTCGGCGTGTCAGAGGTTTTGTTCATTTGAAGGTCAGGGAACCCAATCGCTAGGGTTTAAGCTGGGGTTCGTTTCGGGCCTTCGGCAAGTTAGGGCCCGTAGAGGCCCTTATTTGCTTGAAGGCCTTCGCAGGGTTTTGCGGTGTTAGGGTTTAAGCTGGGGTTCGGGGTAGCCTCGGCCCTTTTCGGGCCTTCGGCAAGTTAGGGCCCGTAGAGGCCCTTATTTGCTTGAAGGCCTTCGTAGGGTTTTGCGGTGTTAGGGTTTAAGCTGGGGTTCGGGGTAGCCTCGGCCCTTTTCGGGCCTTCGGCACGTGAGGGCCCGGAGAGGCCCTTCTTTACTTGAAGGCCGTCGTAGGGTTTTGCGGTGTTAGGGTTTCGGTTGGGGTTCGGGGTAGCCTCGGTCCTTTCCGGGCCTTCGGCACGTCAGGGCCCGTAGAGGTCCTTGCTGATTTGGGGGAGCCATCGATTTCAGTACTAAAAAAGAACATTTTTCATTACGGGCAGGGGGGCGTAAAACCATCGTTTTCAATATTCAAAAATCGCATTTTTCATTGTGGGCACGGACAAATCTTATGGTCCCCCTTCTTTTAGTGGGCCTTTTGAAGCTTTTGAAGCCTTTTGGTGGCTTTTGGGAGGGGGGCTTGGGTCGGTCCGGGGGCCCTTGCTATCCCTGGCCGAAAAAGGCTTCCGGCGAGGGCCCTTGGCCCGGGGCGCCCTTGGTTCGGGGGCTTGGCCGATTTGGCCCGCGGGG